TTAATCTGAATCTTTCATTGTTGCGAGTAGACTTCCAGACCATATATGGCTGAAAAGCCACTCATGTTTCAATTTTTTATTATATTTTTGTTAGGTGATTTTGAGCAATAACAACGATTTATTCTCCCACATTAGGTAAAGTAACGTTGCACGATGAATCATGCTATTTTCACCTTCAAAGAAAGTGCTGTTGACTCACGGCAAACTGTCAAGCACCGCTATTACTGCTGGATCACAAGCGCGGCAGCCAAGCGCAGTTTCCGCTGTTTTCTCCTTCATTTCATTCTCCTAAACTCAACTTCTAAACGTTTTTCCAGATGCAATCTCTTGTTCTAATATTCCTCAGTCTTGCTGGGTCGTCACAAGCCCTTTTGGGAATTGGTTCTACACAATCTGTAGCAGTTACTGGACGTTTAATCTGTAATGGGCGACCGGCTTCTGATGTCAAAGTGAAACTATACGAAAAGGAATTGAGTAAGTTCAAATTCTTCTCCTAGCTTCAGATGGACGACTATTTTTGTTCTTAGCTTTTGATGTAAAAATGGACGAAGGAAGAACTAATGGAAATGGAGAATTTCGTCTAGCCGGCTCGAAAACAGAAATAACAACCATTGATCCAAAAGTAAACATCTACCACAAGTGCAATTACAACGGGGTAAAACAATTTGCAGTTTTTCCATTCTCATTTTCTTACAATAATGTTAATCAAAATTTTAGATCTGCTACAAGAAAATTGGCATTACCATCCCAGACAACTACGTTACCAACGGACCCACACCTCAAAAAACCTTCGATATCGGCACGATTAATCTCGCTAATAAGTTCACCGGTGAAACTATCGATTGTATAAATTGAACATTGTGCAAGTGAATTTACCTCAAATGTGTACAGAAGCTTTCGATGAAATTATTTTGGTTACATAAAGGACATTTTCAAAATTTGTGGTCGCATTTTTTCCAGCATACTTCTGAACAGATATTTTCCATCTATACAGGGCGTCCAAAAAGATGTGCCTACCGTTTAATTGTTATTGACTCTTTTGTAATGAAGTCTTTCGAGAAGCCTTAGGTACCGCTTTGTAGTGCTGGCTTCAACTTAAATTTGGAATATGGAGCGAATAA